TGTTCGTCAATTACAAACCACAGAAGAAGATTTAACGTTTTAAGACAGACAAGATTGGCACAAGACCTGCAGATAAGATTGATGAGAATATCACTGATACGCTAATTGCACTTTGGCGCCACCTGTAGAGTTAATCTAACTTAGCAAACACACAGCAACGTCAACCTGAAATGCGACTGTTTTGAGAAGGAGGGGGAGTGGGGGTGGGGTATTGATTTTGGTTTTATGAAATGAGTTAATAAATACTGTAAATTTGCCATCGTGAAGAGTCTCTGAGGCTGACATTGTCAGAGCTAATAAAGGAATTGTGGGGGGGAGGGTATTAATTTTGGTTAATGATTTATGAGATGAGTTAATAAATTATGCAAATTGGCCACTATAAAGATGTTGTGCAGCTGACGTTGTCAGAGTTAATAGAGGAATTGTGGGTTTTGGTATGGTTTATACACAGAAAGATGGTTGGTGGCGGGTACACGCTAGCGTGAAAAACACAAGTATAGGAATCCGCAAGGATCAAAACTCTATTCTTTTGTTTTTCACGTTACATGTACAGTGTGTTATGTTCCATCCATAATGTAGCTCCGTCTTTCTGTAACATCCCCTTTTACTAACATTTTTATAGTCTTCAAACACGAGACTCAAGGGAACTTAACATCATGAGAATTTTCCAATCTGTACGCTACAGTGTATGTCAAACAAAGGAAAAATAAGCCGGAAAAATGGCACGAAGGGAATCACGTACACGTATACCTTACCGTCTGTCTTCGTTATTTCATGTATGTCCTCGTCACCTAGTTTCCGACTTGTGATACTCTTGTCCGAAAAAGGAACACACAATGTGGAGTTGAGACAGTTGTTAGCAGTTCTCTGAAGATGATCGTTATTCATAGAACTGATACTCACAACTAAGGTCCAGCCCCCACCTGAAGATTAGAAATTTTTAACATTGAAAGGTATGTACCCACTCTATTGCTTGTGATCGAATGTTTTCTGTCATTACGGAAAATGAATCTCTTAGAGTTTTTTAAACAATTGTAAAAGTACATCCTTTACCTACCATAATTTTTCAGATCACAGTACACTCGTGCGTCTTTATATCCAATTTTTATCCAATAGTATCCACTTTCTGCTTGGGGCCATTCCTGGTGTATTTCCTCGCATGATTTTAAGTCAATTTTCTATTGGAAGAAGAGAGTAGAAGAAAAAAAACAACTATAGTGCTTATTTATATCACGTTTATAAGCTCCACTGGCCTCCACGATTTCAGGATCACTGCCAAGAAAATCACTTACTACACAACTGAATCATGATGTTAGACGATCAAATATCATTTAGCTAGTTAAGCTATCATCGCAATTTCTGAAGTGCAGTTATTTCTCTGCCAAAAAAAATTAGCAGATGAATTAGTATATGTAGTTTCTACGAGCCAGTTTTGACTGTTTAAATCCAATTGATGCCAGTTGCGAGAATTCTACGGTTGTGTTTAGTGCGACTAGTTAAAAAATTTCGTTTGAAAGCCACTAGAGTTTAGCTTATCTTCGTTTTCTATATAAAGAGCAAAGACTTGTAAATGACCTATTTGTCATACAATGTCATATGACCGTCTCAGATGTTCTTAATATTCTTGCAGAGCTCGAGAAAAAATCACACTGAAGCAACTTGTCAGTTCGCTCGCGCCGTAATGGGAAACAAAGATAACTGTTTCTCTCATTTTGCGCCATTAGATTAACCTGTCAGATTTGATAAAAATGTCGCCAAATCGAGGGCTTAATTTGGGTATGGTAATATTCCTACTGGAGCCTTTTTGGTACGCTTAAGCGGTGTTTCAGGTTTGCTTGGCCGTTCATTTTATTTGAGACAGTTTTCTATAAAATCCAACCATGGCTCGACCAAACTCGCCTGATATGCTTCCCAAGCGAACCAAAAAGGTACAATCTAGTATGAAGATCATACGTTTCTGTGTCTCTTAGGAGTGTCCATGTAGACAGATCCTGTCCGCGGTCCATAATCCTCAGGATGTGTATATTGGTCCGCGTCATTTAATTCACACGACTTGTCCCCCAAGCGGAAGTTCAAACTTCTACAGCGGAAATGGTTAGAGCAAGTCGTAACACATTCGGAGAAACTGGAAGAAATGGATGTTGATATATGGTGACCAGATAGGTATTGGCCGTACACTGAGTATATAGTTGGATGGCATTGCTCCAAAGTTCGGCAAAACCTTGCCAAAGTTATGATGAAGATCAAATCAAGATAAAACAGCAACACGCTGAACATCACGAATATCTTCTGAAATCAGAAATGAAGAAGGACATCGACCAACTTAAAAGATGAAAAAAAAGTGATCTTTGCCACGTTGGTATTCAGGATAGAGCAGAGAGTCACTGTGCCTGGAGCGGATATAAAAGGGGCAAACTATTAACGCGTTTACAGAAAACAAACAAATAATAAACCACAAAATATTTTTTGTTTCACGCAAACACTTCCAGAAAATATTGAAACTAATTTTGAGGTTATAATGAAAACGTCACATTCGACATTCCTATCTTAGCAGCAAGTTTATCACCATGGACCTAGTTAAACGGCCTAAAGTGTCACGAGTCTCCTATTGGGAGCAGTCGAAGGTCTTTTACTCTGACTATGCCTGTGTGATTCATCGAAAACATCATCTCTCACATTATTTAAATTTATTATTTAAAATAAAAACCTTAAAATGTATGCAGTTCTGCATTTAACTTAACTCGATCCACTAACGGTAATGTATGGTTATTTTAAGAAGTATTTTAGAAAGCAGAATTGATATCAAGTAGTTCTTTCCTCAATAGCTTTTGACTTTCATCACGAAGATTTTGTGCAGACAATATTACAAATGTTGATAAGATTGCTGAAAATGGAAAGAAGCCCCATACTTTTTTCTTCGACCGCTCAAGATCTGCCCGTAGGTTAAGGTCGTGTGGTCAGCAAGAAAAATTATTTGGTACTTCCCAGTATCTTCTAAAACTCGTCTTTGAGCAGATTTTTAAATCACCAGTTTAAAATCACAACATTGAAGAAAACATATTTTACATAAAAAGATGAACTCACGTCGGCGATGATAAAACGAGAGTGACATCAACCCTCAACACTATGCAAGTAACTTCCTTTGGAACATAATCGGAACACGAGAACTAATCCAAGTGGTTCAGCTTTCTAACTAACCAACAACAAAAATTATCATTTACGACGTTAGTTAGTTAAAACGGGTTAGAGTAAGAACAAAGCGTTTCCATTTACAGGTAAATAGGGACTTTAAGCAAACTACGACGGCTACGGCAGCGGGAACGGGGAAAAACAGTAGATCTAATTGGCAGAACAATAGCTCAGCACGTGCGTTTTCAAACGTTGTACATTTCTTAGCCGTCCTTTGCAAAACAACAACGTGAAATCACCAAAATTTGCGTCGTCTGTGAAGCTAAACCGCGGCGGCAAGTTATTTTAATTTACATTTGGAACTCAACGCTACTTTTATGCGTTATGTTGAGTTTGAGGTCTG